CCCAGGGATGTCCCTCGCACACCCGTGGGCGCCCCTGCCTGTGCGGGCTTCTCTCTTGGCTGCCCATTCTGAGCCCCCTGAAGAGGGGGAGATGCCTGGACAAGCAGCCATAGCTCCAGACTCTCCTGGTCAGCATTCGGCTCAGGCCTGCGCCAAACTCCAGAGGCCAGAGGGGAATGCCACGTTTTTCCAAGTCAGCAAATGAAGGCCGTCCTGGCGGCTGGGCGGCCACCACTTGATTCTCAGAGATCTGCTGCTTTCAGCACTGTAGGCAGCCCAAGGTCGGAAGGACTCCGGGGCAGCCTGGCTCGCTGCCTTGAGAGCCAGTCACATGCTGCTCTCTCCAGAGTAGAATGGGAGGGTGTGGGGAGACCCCAGGAGGAGCTGGGTGAGGAGAAGGGGTGGCCTCGCCCGCTCCTGGGGGTAAGAGGCTAAGCTGTTCTGGCTGGCCAAGCCCCTGGGTCCCTGTCAGTAACTAACAAGGAGGAACGCCAGGCTGGGCCTCAGGGAGTATGGGAATTGACTCCAGGTTAAAACTTTGTTTCCTTGTTTGTTTGTTTGATTTCGTTGGTGTGAAAACCCCAAAGCTTTCCTAAAGTTTGGGACCCAGGTCCTCTGCTAGAGGGAATCCTACAGTGGCCACTAGGTGGCACTAAAGACACATTGAACTCGGAGGTTTTGGTAACAGTTGAGGGAGAGGCAAGAACTGGCAGGAGGCCGGCGGGCCCTGGAGTTCCTTGGTGGTTCCACACGCTCTCTGCGAGGCCTGGTTTTCGCCCTGGGCCTCGGTGCTTGGGCCTGGTGGTGGACATTGGCCGCTAGCAGGGGACGTGCCCCAGAGCTGAGTGACCGGCGAGAGCCCCTCTCACCCACTCGGCCAGCCTGGAGCAGGCGGGCGCAGCTCCTGACGGTGGCACACATTGTGCTAGTTCTCTGGAGCCTGCGCTCACCACCCGGACCAGGGTTTTCGCAGCCCCCTGTTGGTGGTGAGGGAGGCCCGAGGCCTGACGCTGGGACGTGGGGACCTGGCGGCCTGCATGGAGCTCTGTGTGCTGTGGTCAGGGAGGGGGCAGTGTTGCCTCTGGAGACCCCAGGGATCACTAGAGCTGGTGCAGCTAGGGGATTTAACAAACAAGAAGTTTGAAATGAGACGGTGATTTTCCTCCCGCCGGGACCAGCCTGCGACCTGCCCCGGTGGCCCTGAGCATCCCGGATGAGGGACCTCACCTTGCAGGGCTCCTGCCGCCTCAGGAAATGCAGCCCTGGCGCCTTTAAGAGCCCAGGGCAGGCAGGAAAAGAATTTCAGTTTCAATCTGGCTTCTAAATTTGGAGTTTTGGGAAGGGAGGGATCAGATTTCAGCTGGAAGGGAAGGAGCTGACAGGAAGGCGCTGTGCAGAGCCTCCCCCACCCCACCCCCCTCAGTTACTGACAGAGGAACCATTTACAAAAGGCCGATTCTCTTGGGAGTGGAGAGGCAGGAACGCAGCGTCTGTGAGTAATTTCCTGCTCAGTATGGCTGCTCTGACTCATACGATTCCCCCGGGGTCACTGCGGGCCTGCAGCTCGCTCGCTCCTTCTCTTCCCCTTTGTGGCTGGAATGAGCGCATTTGTTTGTCTTCTTGACCCCATCCCCTTTTCCCCCTTATCTGCTTTCCTTTACAGAGTTGCAGAGGCTCCTTCTGAAGGACCTGTGGAGACCTCGGGACCCTGAAGGCTGGGGGTGGGGGTGGGGGCAGCCCCTCTAAATAGCATCTCTGGCCTTTCCATGGAGGCGGCCCAGGCCACTGGGGCTCCGGAGCTCGGGCCTCCCCCCGGCTCTGCCAGCGGGCCAGAGAGGCCTTTTGGGTCCCCCACCCCGTGCCCCTAGCGGGGGAGGCTGGCCCACAGGCAGAACCCCTGGTTTCCCCACGTCCCTGGGCCAGCCTTGGCCGCGGAGCCCTCGCTGAGCAGACCCCTGGAGCTGCGGCTGTGACAGAGCCAGCAGGGTGCCTCCTGGGTGGTTCGCTCGCGGGGCCTAGTCCAGAGTGAAACTGGTTCCGCGGCTCCAGTGATCCCTGAGCTTCTCAGGGCCTGGAGTATGCAGGAGAGGGCTGGAGCCTAGCGCTCCTCCCGTGGGGCAGAGCGCCTGGGGAAGGGGCGGGGCGAGGGGAGGGCGGGGTGGAGCCTGACGGAGTGGGACTTTGGGAGCAAAGCGCCCTGAAGGCCAAGCCCCTGCAGGCTGGGGGCTCCTGGCTGCCTTCCTGGAGGAGGGAGCCTTACAGAGAGGAGGGGAAAGGTTCTGGGTGAAGGGACTGGCCCAGGAGAAGCCCTGTGGGGACCATGGGCCATGGCCTCACTGCTCGAGGAGGGAGCCTGTCGTCCTTGCTGCTGAA